ACGGCGTCTACTGTACAATGAAAGGCTGTTGTTGGACCCATATCGCAGGTCTTTGATGGACCCAAACCTTTGCGACTAAATAAGTATCAAATCAGTCGTCATCTGAATCTGTCTATGTCTTTGCATAACTCCCTCATTAGTAGTAGTCAAAGCATTCGATAGTTTGGTCTGGCAAATGAAGTCGCAAACAACGAGGGAGTAGGATTATACAGCTAGTAATCAAACAGATGGAATTTTTACGCCGGGGAGGTTATTGCTCAGGACTCAGCGAATTCGACTTATGTACAGACCAACTGACAGATGTGACGCTCGTGACTATGCAACATGCAGTCTAACTAAGAACAAAGTGTTGTGTGTCGCTCAACGGAAGTGCCCCTACTTCCCCTCCTTCCACCACCTCAGAAATCAGCATCGGTGAGCCAGGTATCGACCCGATGCAGTGCGCACCATTCATACCCTACGGAACGAACACAGTAGAAAACACCACATGCTCTGAAGATGTATGGCCAATTTCGATACGTGAAACCTCAGACAACAAATAAACCCCTTCCGGTGTGTACACAAACGGTTTCTACAGTCAGCATCGCCATTTGCGAACAATACCTTGACGCCTTTTTTCCATTCTGAGTTTGGCTTACTGGATCAGGATGCAAGATCACTCAGCACTCAAGTATGAACACTTTCGGTTATTGGGTTTAAGTCTATCTGTTGACTGTCGTGCCTATGTGCCAACAGTATCTTGGTGAAAAACTCAAGGTAACCCCAATTATGTGAGACCCAGACTATGTGGCATTGCCGGCAAAGAAAAGGGAAACTGGAGTGGGTATTTCTGGCTACTTAACCATCATCAGTTAGTCATACCCAGCCCAAGTGGTACCCAACCCGAGGCTCGAGCCCGCGAACTTTTGATTAGAAGTCTAACGCTCTAGCCATTGAGTCACGGGTCTGTTGTCTTGCCGCTTTGGAATATACTCATATAGTAGAAGTACCAGCCGGTACACCATATTTCAAACGACTTCAGACTTATAAAGGACATGCTGATAAACCCAAGGCCCCGCAGAGAGATGGATGACTCACCAGCCAAGAGGAGGTCCTGGAAGGTCGGATGTAGGGCAATGCAGGTGACAGGTGGGCTGGGCACGGACAGAGCAGTCTCAGGGTGCAGATGAAAGTACGCAGGGTAGACGGGACGCCCGCCAACTCGACAGCGCTGCCATATCTTGCCGTCTTCGGAGCCGACGAAGAACATGTCCGTGCTGTGACAAACTTCCAGACAAGTAGTAAAGGGGCAGACGTTCCAACAGGCAACAGTAGTAGCATCAGCGTCTCTGGTGGTCGTGGTGGAGAAGTCTTCGTATACCATCTGAACTTGCGGAAATCTGTGCAGTAGCGGCTCACCGACACCCTGTGCGAATCAGAAATCCATTGGGAGAGTTAGTTTCGAAAGGGCTGAGGAAGAAGCAGATAGAGCTACAGAAGGGGAGGTCTTGTGAACACCAATCTTCGTAGAAGTCTTCGGTTTTCCTTAACTGACCGCTAAAGGATGAACATCTAGTCCAGACTTACAAAATTCAAGTCTCCACTGATCTTACCGGTGGTGAGGTGAGGTGAGCATGACATATAAATGACGTGTGAACCCAGACACTTTTAGAGGTCAAGCCATTCAGTTCAGAGGTAAAAAACTACGGCATATCTGTCCCGACAATTTAGTTATTAGAAGTGGTATTTTTCCCATATTTCTTGAGCAGACAACCTCTTACTGCAGGTGCTCGTCAGAATGCTCACGTTCAACTAAGTGGTTTGCTCATAAAATACCTCCAATCCAGGGTATTTGACTGCAACCTAGCTGATACCTAGTTCATGCGAAGGGGATACAGACAGAATTGATGTTTTTACTAGAAGGACTATTCCGATTAAGGTCGCATACACTACGGAAGAACGGCTACTAACAGCCAACTAGCGGAGCATATGCACGAAGCTTTGAAATAGACTCAAGCAGTGTTCATTCCGTGAAATTCGCGTAAATATAGTGGTAACTGGCCAGAGATTGTCAGCGCCATCAAAAAGGTCCACCAGTGCGACACCTTTAAACGATATTTGGTAACTTGGAAAAAAGCAGTGATTCCAAGGTGATGCCTATTACATGCGATGTCGGTATGGTACTCACGCAAAACATGTATACCACTGGCTGGTTGTTGGCAATCGGTGAATATTACGTGCTTACCTCGCAGAAGCTGGGAGATTTGGGCTCAAATATCATATAAATTTTAGAGTGAGCCGATACAGTGCCACTCCGAATGAGTCAATTCAAGTTAGCACAGTAACTTCTGAAGAATTTTAAAAAATTGAAATTTACAAACGGGAATATCCACCAGAAAACACAAAGGAATGCTAGAGGACTCACCGAAGAGCCATCTCCCTCACACCTGTGTCACACAGCGGTAGAATATGAGCGCAACAGGCTTTGGGCTGTAATCTAGTGCTTGTGCTGTTGGTAGGCCAAATCGTGCAATATGTATACGTATTGCCTTATATGGAATACCAACAGCACTCAAACAGAACGGGGATTAGTATGACGAGTCAGACAGAATTCCTTTTACTTGTACATAGGTGGCTATCAAGAAAGTGGATGTCCATTAGAAATCAAGTCGTTAACTTCAGGGTGCTACGGTAAGTCCCCTTTCTCATGAAATGTCAATCGAAATTCAAAAACTCCTTTTCGATTCGAACAAAGTACTTCGATGAAATGGTAGTACTGGTTATCATGCCGACTAATCGCCAAATATATCAGTTACCTCAGTGGTCGGCTTTTGAACGAGCCTTTCTTCTGATCGCTCACAGAAAGCATATTCTCTAAAAATGGTTACTTAGGCACAAGACACTTTTCTCATTGCTTTTCGAGACCCTTATAAATTCAAGTATATTTTATAGAAAACATGCATAAACATATTCTTTCTTGTACTTGTTTGATAGAAAATTGCGTGTCCTTCATATGCTATACTTGAAGAAAGGGTATCTGGGGGCTTTTATTTTTTTTATAAATTACGGAAGTACGATGAACCCCACAGGCTGTTTCAATTAAGCTCAAGTTGCAAAACTACGTGCTGTATACGCTAGGAGCCAATTTACAAAAAAATTTGAAGAAGAGGTGGCTCGTATTGCCTACCTTATAGGCAACCTTAATAAATGGATAGGATGCACTCTGAACGAATATTTCATGGTGTGAAACAAACTCGTAATCAGATACGTTTTTTAAACAGAAAAATACTCGTTCTTCAGGTACAAATTGGACGAAAGCGTAAATTGAAATCAGTGAGTCCAAGAAATGATGGTTTTTCGTGAGCGTTTTTAGTAGCTATATTTGGATTTATAATAACATTGAAAATGGATCAGAGAAACTGACACTACATAAAATACATGCATTTTAGAGGATCTGCTTCTTACAGACGACGAGGAATATACTCACTAAAAAGTCGGCATCTTTGGCTGATTAAAATTTCTTGGAATTAGGCTGCACGATTAGGAATTTTGCAACTCCAATTAAGTAATTTTTTTCAAATCTAAAACACATTTCAGAATTTCAGCTGACGTTTCAGGAGATGGGGAATGTGTTCGAATACTATTTTGAATAGTACAAGTAGTTGGGTGGCAATTGTGAGAAGCACCTTTGGTGGCAACATTTATGTATAGGTCGTTTACTTCGATGCATGAAGTCACGATTAAGTCAACCGGCCTCAAGCTCGAGTAGGGATACAATCAGAATAAGTCTACGGCGTCTTGCAACCAGACCAAACTGCCTAATCCTGGCGGGCCAAATTACAATAATGTCTGGTTCCCCATAAAGCGAAACCTTGTACAACTGTCACCTAAGATAAACTAGCCAGTGAGAACCTTGTCGGTGGCTCCATTGAGGAAACGGGAGCCACGGACTCCTGCGTGGTGAAAAAGGTGGGAAAAGGGGTTTTATGTGTGTCATAATTGAACCTGACAGACAGCTACTTTCGAGAAAGAAAAATAAAAAATAACTTTACGGAAGTAGCTTGTTTGATTACATCAAAAAAGCGTAAAAACGTACGAGCGCGAAGTTTGAAATACAGGAAATTAAGGGCAGAAGAAATAAAAAAGGTAATTACTACAATATTACGCATAAAATAATCCCAGCCCGTGATGAATAAATAGTTAAATCTGAGTCTCGCGGCGACCACCACTGAAGTTGAAGTTAAAGTTTCAAGTTAAGTCGGAAGCCAAAAATCGAACACTCGCCCTAATCCTATCACAGAACCCTTAGTCTGACACTAACCAAATGGCTTGAGGGTGGCATGAGAGGGAATGAGAGGAAATGGAAGGGAAAACAAATTAAGCCTCCCCAACTTGCATACGTACGTATTTCATGAGATTTAAAAATAAGGTAGAGCCACATACCAGAATACGGACAGATAATAATTAACAAGACTGTCTTATCGGTGGGCTTACGGTTAGTATTTACAAGGCAGAACGCATCATGGAAACCGGAGGACCCACCTCAGCTGAAATACTCG